CATAGGCAATTCATCATGGCCAACTTGCCATGGGCAACTCATCATGGCCAACTCGCCATGGCCAGCTCATCATGGCCGACTCATCATGGCCAACTAATCATGGCCAACTCTTAAAGAAGGGACAGAACAAAATGTGAATGACAAAAATTAAAATAACGTTAACAAGGAGTTTCCTTGCAGAACAATCGGTGGGATGGCCCTGCCCACAGAAGTTGTGGGTGCTCCATGACTGGAGGTTTACAAGCCGAGATCGGGCGTGCATTCGTATAAAATCTCCTGCTTGAGCAGGGCATTGGACTAGAAGACCTCCACGACCCCTTCAGCTCACTTAACAACAATGGTGTCACTAATTGAACAAGGGCGCCGCTTTGCTTCCCAACTGCGGCCAAAAAAGTCACTTCCCCCATGTCTCACACAGCAACAGAAATTCGGGGGCTCCATTGTGGTCTTAACTCGAGAAGTTTGGGGTGGGGGAGTTTCAAACGGGCGGGTGGGCGCTGTGCCTGTGGTGGGGGGAGGGGAGTCCGGCCCCCACCTCCCCTTGGTAGCTGCCAGCTCCGTCGGAGCCCATCGTGCCCTGCCCGGGAGCGATGGGGGTTTGTAGTCCCCGGGAAGGAGACCCGGGAGGGATGGAGGAGGCGCGGGAGGGGCGCCGCGGGACCCGCCTGGGACCCACCCCGGGCGGGGAATCCGCTCCGGAGCCCCGCCTGGCTTGACGTGGCAGGAGCTGCAGCGGCGAAGGCGGCTCCGTAAAAAGCGAAGCGCGCCCGGCTCGGCTCGACTCAGCATCGGGATGGGGCCGCTCCTGCCGCTGTTGCTGGGGCTCCTCTCGGCCGTGGCGCCGCTGCGCGCCGTGCAAATCGACCGGAGCCGCTTGCAGTGGTTGGCCCGCGGGAAGGTGGAGGTGAGCGGGCAGGGCAGGTGCGTGCGCGCGCGCGCGGGGCGGGGGGGGGGCGCGTCCCGATGTGGGCAGGGGGTCCGCGGGATCCGGGGATGCGCTGTGTGTGTGTGTCTGTCTGTCTGTCTGTCTGTCTGTCAGTCCTCGACTTAACATAGAATAGAGTCGGAAGGGACCTTGGAGGTCTTCTAGTCCAACCCCAAACTCAAGCAGGAGACCCCAAACATTTAGAACATAGAATAAGAGTCGGAAGGGACCTTATAGGTCATCTAGTCCAACCCCCACCCAAACAGGAGACCCTACACCATTTCTGACAGATGGCAGTCCAATCCCTTCTTGAAAGCCTCCAGGGATGAAGCTCCCACAACTTCTGAAGGCAGCTTCTCTTCCATGGGTTGATTGTTCTCCCTGTCAGAAAGTTTCTCCTTATTTCCAGGTTAAATCTCTCCTTGGTCAGTTTCCATCCGTCATTCCTTGTCTGGCTTTCTGGTGCTTTCTAGAGCCCCAACATCCTTTTTAGAGTGTGGTGACCAAAACTGGATGCAGAACTCCAGGTGTGGCCTTACTAAGGCTTTACAGAGTGGGATTAGTATCTCATCAAGAGAAGCAGAGTGTGAGGGGCCCAGCCCAGCCGGTGACTGAACTGGTCCCTTCCCCAGCCTGGGTGCCCCTCCATCCTAGATGTGGTGGGGAAATTTGATGCCAGTCACCCCCAAACAGCAGTGGGGCTCAAGGTGGACTCAGCCTCCGATCCTTCCGAGGTGGGTAAAATGAGGACCCAGATCTTTTTGGGGGGAGGGGCAAAAGGCTGACACTGTAAATTGCTTAGAGAGGGCTGGGAAGAGCTGTGAAGTGGTCTGTAAGTCTAAGTGCTATTGCTAAAACTCAGAAAAACATCTCACTTAACGACATAAATGTTGAGCTCAACTGTAGTCATAACTTGCAGGCTCCAATCCCCTCTCAGCCTTAGAAAGTCCCAGGCTGACGTGGCCCACTTGCCAGAGGGAGGGTGTCGGTTGTGGAGGAAATGAGCGGAGGGAGTGAAAAAAAAGCAACCCCCCCCCCACGCCCATCTCCACAGGAAGCAGATTTGGCGAAGAGGAGCCTCTGTGTTCAGAGGCAGACTATCTCTGAGTCACACACACACACACACACACACACACCCTGGGGCTGCTTTTTGAGAGGCAAAGCAACTTTCCCTCCCGGCCTGAGCCTTGAACATTGAAAAACACAACAAATCAATTACACCAAATTGCACAATTTCCTCAAGGGAGGGCTGGAAATTGCAGCAATTAAATTGCTGTTGTTATTGAAAAGGTTGTTGATCTCAGTTGCTTCAATTGTTTCAGTCCTTGCAAGATTTGCCGTGGCTTAAGGCAGCGGGGGGCCCTCCCTATCTTTTAGGGGGCCCCGGGCACCAGGTTCCGTGGAAAGAGGTTTTTTTTTTTTCCACGGACCGGAGAGGACGTGGGTTTCGTGGGCTGCCTGCATCCCAGTGTGGTTTCTGGCATGCCATGGCCCGGTCAGGGCGTTGGAAGTTAAGGTTTTCTCTTGCAGTCTGTATCCTATGACAGCTGGCTTCTCACAACCATGCTAAGCTGTGGTTTGCGAGGCAGGATGGAGTAAAACGCCCAGCCACCTTAGTTTACACGACATTCCAGCCATAAAAGAACAAATCACGTTTTAGCTTAGCGGGTTCTCCAAGTTCTTGCCAAGTTGGAAGGCCCTTGTCTCAATATAACCATATGTATTAACTCTAGGATAAGTAATGCTGACCTGACTAGAAGCTAGAATAGGGATAGAAATAAGAAATAGGGGGAATATTAGCATATATAATTTTTATATAATATAATCTATATATATAAAGCAAAATACCAGTCATGCATCATCATGAAATCTCCAGAACCGTAAAACCTACGAACTTGAAATTCGGCACCTATGTTCCTCTTGGCTTCTAGGTGCTCACTAAGAAAGGGTTTTTCTGAATGACCATCAGAGCATTTAGTGTTTCCTATATTATTACTATTAACTTACTCTGATGCTAAGGAGTTCTACTCCCCCTCCCCACTTGAAAAGAAATCTCTTCCAAATGCAAAACACAAGCAGAGGAGTTTCAGTTTTAGTTTCACAGCACCAAGCAGCTTTAGTATAGAACAGTTAAACTAAGCCATGCCGAAGCTCCTTGCTGTCTCCTTCTTGCTCACACAGCAAATACTGTTTCAGTTTCCAAACAGCCTTCAACACTCCCACACACTGACAGGACACTAGACAGATGAATACCGATGGATGCTGGCAGGCAGGGGCGCAATTTCCCCCCACCCTTACTTTCCTCCCCCAAAACTGTGTTGTAGATGTGTGTTGCTGGGGATGTGTTGTGATTCAAAGAGTGACACGTGGTGCTCTTTTAAAAGTCCCCTAACATGGTCTAGGCCAGGGGTCTCCAACCTTAGTAACTTTAAGCTTGGTGGACTTCAACTCCCAGAACTCCCCAGCCAGCAAAGCTTTACTCCCGAGGCGACCCTTCTCCTGGCAGCTCTGCGCATGTGCACCCTGGGAACAGGCTCCAGGTGTTCTTCTTCCCCACTGATCTCCGACGGCAGCTGATAACTGTCGGACGTCCCTGGCCCCATCTCTGCCTCTTGTTCCTCAGTTGTTCCCTTCTTCTGGCAGCTCTGCGCATGTGCACACTGGGAACAGGCTCCAGCTGTTCTTCTTCCCCACAGATCTCCGACTCCAAGGGCAGCTGATAACTTTCAGACAGCCTTGGCCCCAAGGCTGGGAAGGAGTTCTGGGAGTTGAAGTCCACCAAGCTTAAAGTTGCCAAGGTTGGAGGCCCCTAGCTCTCGGCAACCTAATCTTTTCGTTGCGGTGGGATGGCTACGTTTTGTCGCACAAAAAACTAACCCAACCAGTTGAACGGGACTGTCCCTCTCACCTAACCTTAGAAACACACACTTTTTTTTGATGGTGCTCTCCTCTCTCCCTCCCTCCCCTCCTCTCCCCCAGAGCTGCGGAGGATGACGTTTGAACCGCCTGCCAGAGGTAAGCAATTCGCTCTCCTTTTCCCCTGGGCCACCTGCTTCCCTGCTGGAAAACCCTTAGGGATGAGCCAACAAGCCCCTGCCAGCTGTGCTCAATCCAGAATAAAGGCCTTCTTGGAGGCCTTCTAGTCCAACCCCCTGATCGTGCAGAAGAGCCCATGCCATTTCAGACCAACGGCTGTCCAGTCTCTTCGTTAAAAACCTCCAGGGATGAAGCGACTACAACTTCTGGTGGCCAGCTGTTCCCCTGGTTCATTGTCCTCGCTGTGACGAAGTTTCTCCTTAAATTCCAGGTTGATTCTCTCCTGGATTAGTTTCCGTCTGTTGCTTCTTGTCCTGCCTTCGGGTGCTTTGGAAAATAATCGCTTGACTCCCTCTTCTTCGGGGCAGCCCCTCAAATATTGGAACAATGCTATCATGTCACCCCACCCTCAGTCTTTCTTTTCACCAAACTAGACCTACCCAATTCCGGCAATCGTTCTATGTTTAGCCTCCAGTCCCCTCTGTTGCTCTTCGCTGTGCTTTTTCCAGAGTCATTTTTTTACACACCACGGTTTAACAAGTGTGGCCTTATAAAGCGGCAGTAACGCTTCATGTAATTTTGATTCTCACCCTCTGTTAATGCAGCCAGCTTAGGGTTATCGCATTGGCCTTTTGGGGCGGCTGCAGCACACGGCTGGCTGGCTCCCTATTTAAGCCACTGTCCAGAAGGATCAACCTCAAAAATTTTCTGCCTGGGATTTTCAGAGGCTACCAGGTTTCCTTTCTGGGCACTGGGAGGAATACAAGCCAAGCCTTTCTGCTTCCTGTTTCCCTACCTACACCTGCAGCAGAGTCTCCAGCAACCAGCCTGTCTCCTAACGGCGGATTCTTCCTTTTTATAGGTAAAGGCCTTTATCAACGAAGACCTGCCCTTGTAGTATCCTTTGCTGAGGTGTCATCCAGGCTCACCTTCTGCTGGGTTCATCCGCTACCTGGACTCTGCCGTCCTTCCCGGTTGAGGGTTGCCGAGTCTCACGCCAGAGTCCCTCCCTGAACGAAATGGGACAACGCACTACGGCCAGCTCACGGCAGCCAACTCTCCAGGGCTAATTTGCTGCGGCCAAGAGTGGTGGGGTGGCCCCGAGGTAGAGTTCCTGCCTCACAATCAGGAGGCTGTGAGTTCAATCCTAGGTAGAGGCAGATGTTTTTCTCTCTCTGGGCACACTGATGGGGGGAAAAACAACAACAACAACTCCGTACTGGCAACAGGAAGGGCATCCGGCCGGTAAACACTCAGCTCCACTCAGTTGGCTGGACCCCACCCTGCATGGGATTATGGGGGGGGGGGTCATAAAAAGGAGACGATGATGAACTCGCTACGGCCAACTCGCTGCAGCCACCTCGCCGTTGGCCAATTTGTTGCGGTCCAACTCACCATGGCCAACTCGCTGTGGGACAATTTTAACAGTTGAATTTAATTATTTAAACTAAATGAAAGATCTGCTTAAGCTTTGTCAATTCACATCCTGCCCCTCCTTTGGCGTCCTTTGATCTCGTCCCGCCGTTTCTTTGCTACGAATGTAATTCCGGTCCTGGGGCGAGTTGGCCGTGACGAATTGTCACAGACCCCGGAATTGTGCTTCCTGAAAGAGGCCGGCCACATTTACCTGTTGGGGGCAGGTTTACCTGCAACAGCGGCTTGTCGAGAGGCAGTGGCTGCGTTCACTCCGGCAGGTGTGGGTGGGGGGGGGCATTTTTGAACCCGTTGTAACTGAATGGGTTGTCTTTGCAGAAGAGTTCCCGGTTCCTTCCCTCCCTCCTCATTTCTTTGATATTAGTGTAACTCTTGTCCCGCAGTGGGTTGTGAGTGGACCGTGGGGAGTTGTCCAGCCGAGAATTGGCTGCGGCGGGTTGTCATCGATCCCTCCCTTGCACGTCCACAGGGAAAGTTCTGCCTTCCCCTTTTGCGTGCGATGGGATGCGTGCTAAAACTTCGATTCTCCAAACGCATTTCAGAACTCCCCACCTCTGGCTGGGATCTGGGATCTGGCAGACGGAGCGCATTGGGCGGGGGTGGGGGTGGCAGCTTCAGGGAAGGCTATGCGCGGTGGTCCAGTTTGCACAAGAAGGCACGGATAGCCCCGAATTCCAGTGTATGCCAGGAATCAAATCACCACGCGTGCATGGCAGTATCCTCCCACAGCAGCCGATACGGCTCCTTAACGCTTCCCCCTCAAGCCACAACATGGACCTGAAATACCTGGCTGGAGCGGACCCTGAACTGATCCTACTCAACATTCAATTCGAAGAGCTCCAGGTGAGAGGGAAGTCGTTTTCTCACCTTTGGGTCTTTCTTCTGTTACCAGGCCTTTTAGTCACGAGGCTTTGAACATGTTTAGCTCGGCAAGGCTTGTGCCCTGTGGCCACCAGCTGTTCATGTAGCGCCTACGTTACAGATCCGCGTAGATTAACCCCGAGGTTTCCCAGTGTTGGAAGGGGACCTTGTAGGTCATCTAGTCCAACCTGCCTCTCCACCCAAGCAGGAGACCCTACACCGTTTCTGACAGATGGCAGTCCGGTCTCTTCTTGAAAGCCTCCAGGGATGGAGCTTCCGCAACTTCCGAAGGCAAGCTGCCCCACTGAATATAGAATAACAAAGTTTTGGTCATCTAGTCCACCCCCCCTCCACCCAAGCATTGGGCATCTCCAAGGATGCTTTGATTACATTAGAATAAGAGTTGGAAGGGACCTTGTAGATCATCTAGTCCAACCCCCCCCACCGCCCAAGCATTGGGCATCTCCAAGGATGCTTTGATTACAGATTATCAGAGTTGGAAGGGATGTTGGAGGTCATCTAGTCCAACCCCTCCCCAAAGCAGGAGACCCTACACCATTTCTGACAAATGACAGCCCAGTCTCTTCTTGAAAGCTTCCAGTGATGAAGCTCCCACAACTTCCAAAGGCAACTTCTCTCCCATTGAATATAGAATAACAGAGTTGGAAGGGACCTTGTAGGTCATCTAGTCCAACCCCTTACCCAAGCAGAAGACCCTACGCCATTTCTGACAGATGGCAGTCCGGTCTCTTCTGAAAAGCTTCCAGGGATGAATGGTTGGTTAACATCCAGCTGTCTTGCCATGGTCATGGCCAGAGGACGCTCGATCTCCCTACGATTTGCCTTTTCATTTTCAGAGAATCCCCTTGAGTGACATGTCCCGGGATGAGATCAACCAACTGTTACAAGAATTGGGATTCTACCGGAAAGAAAAACCGGAGTCTCCTGTTCCCGAGGCCTTCCAGATGGCGCCCGCCAATTCCCTGCCACCGGATGTGGAAGCCATGAAGAAGAGGAAGAAGAAGAAGGGGGCTGGGGGCTCAGACCTATAGAATCCGATGTGCTCGGTTGGTGTTTTGTGAGGGGCGCCTCTTGGAAGGGAGGAGACCTCGCTCGGGGCCTTCAAAGTATCTAGTTAAGCTGTGACTCCATAAAGATAATCTAGATAATTTGGAACTCCACAAAGATCTCTTCAAATTCAAAGATGCAAAAATTAATCTAGATAATCTGGAACTCCATTAAAAAGATCCCTTTATTCAGATGCAAAAGTTAACCTGGAACTCCATAAAGATAATCTAGATAATCTGGAACTCCATAAAGA